CACACACACACGCACACACGCACACACGCACGCACACATACACACACAAAAACACACATTCGTAAACAAAATTACAAACTTTCCTCCATATTTTTCTCGTTTTCTTTTTCTTCGCCACGAGCAGCACATAAATTGCAAGCAAATCGTCATTGTCAGTACACTCGCTGCGGTTAAACCACACGACGTGATGTGGATGATGCGCCGACCCGTCGAATGGCGGTTTTTGGGCGGAGGATATATTATATTTGCCTACCTCAAAGTTCCCCAGTTCAGTGTGAGCACGAGTGTTATATCACTTTGCCGCGCCCACTAGCATATTACGTTGTATATGTATGTGTGTATAATATTATGCTTGTTGTAGGCATGTATGTGTGCATATTATCTTATGTCCACCTGTTAGTGTGGGTGGTTGGTGGATGCTATGGTGTGGTTTGCTCCTTCTTTCCTATCAAACATCTATCGTCCTTATCTCTCCTCCGTCTTTTCTTTGTTTGTTATTATGCGTGTGTATGTGTGTTAAGCTATGTATTTAAAACTGTATATTGCAGAATCTAGATATTATCGTTGATTCGCTTTTAAACACGCTGAAGATTCTATGATTATTATGTTTGCTATTTCCCATTGATCACATCGTGATAAAGCTTGTTGAAAGACCGTGCACGCCCCGCCTTGCCCTAAAGTCTTTTCAAGGGACACAATTCTTCTGTCAATCTCACACTCATATTCTACTGGTTATTTCCCTTAGGTCCCGTTTGCGGTTCTGTCGCTCCTCCCTACTTTCAGATGCTAAGTTTGTGACACATTATTGTATTTATTACAATGTTACACTTGAAAGTGCGGCGAACCCTCCATTCGGAACCATTTTCTCATCACCATCTCCATCATCATTATCATCTTCATTATCACCACCATCACAATCATCATCATCATCATCATAATCATTATCATCATCACCATCATCATCACCATCATCATCATCATCATCATCATCATCATCATCATCATCATCATCATCATCATCATCATCATCATCAGCATCATCATCATCATCACCATCATCACAGTGGTCGTTGTTTATCAAGCAGACATCGTGTCCCATGTTTCAGGTCCTCAAAAGGATCTATCGATTGGATTTACCTCTCGTCACGGTCTCACGTCATTGGTCAAGCAGGAAGTGGGCGGAGCTTGAGTGGATTATCGTGGAGTTGTGTCCCCGTGTGCCGGATGTTGTGACGTCATGGAACCGCCGCAGATCATTACGCCAGGTGAGCATGTGTGTTTGCCGGTGTGTCTTCGCCAGTCTGTCATATTTGATTTTCAGGTCTGGGTGATTTTGATGTTTTTGCTTTGATTTTTTTTGGCTTTGTTTTGTTTTGTTATGTTTTTTGTTTTTTCGTTTGTTCGTAACCAATGCTGTGTGGATTTGCAATTTTATCCTGGTGTTTTTTTTTAAAGGACGGATGGGTTCAATGGTAGTCCCTACTTCTTTTCTATTTTCTGAAAGTCATATCTCTACCCCTGACTTCAGTCATAATTATGTCCACCTATTAGTGTGGTTGGTTGGTGGGTGCTCTGCTGTGGTTTTCTCCTCCTTATCTTTCCTCCTTATCTTTATCAAACGTCTATCGTCCTTATCTCTTGTTCTTTTATTTTGTTTGTTATTGCTTTCTTGTAACACCTCTTCGGCACTTACGGTCGTATCTGTGAGTGTGTCTACGAGTGTGTACAAACTTACTTTGTCTGTTTGGTCAGGACAAGCTGCTGGTGGTCCGTGGTGCTTTCAGCTCAGCTGGTATCTCGCTGGACTACGGAGTGGGTGGTTGGCGGGTGCTCTGGTGTTGTTTCCTCCTTGTTTCCTATAAAAAAAATATATCGTCTCTCTCTCCCCTCCTTAATTGTTTGTTACTCTCTTATAACACCTCTAATCTTCGGCACTTATATGACCTTATTGTGTTGCAAGTGCCGTAAAACTCCTACTGAAACTAAAAAAACACAACTAGAGTACGGAGCGGATGGCCCTTGGTCGAATCCCAAACGTGAGGTTCTGAACCTGGGTTGTTTTGGGGAGTCTTTTTTTTAAGTCCCGTGTGCAAGTTGTGCACGTTAAAGATCCTTTGGTGGTCTTAAAATCGATAAGAATAGATTTCGGCCGCCACCCGGGGAAAGTTCAAAATATCAACCAAATTGAAAATGTTTCTAAATGTTTCCTGCGCGCTCATAATATGACCTTATGCAGTTGCAAGCGCCGGAAAACACGTAGAGACACTTACCAAAGCAAACGCTCCTACAGAAGGAAAAAAAAAAAATCAACTAAAAAAAAAGCCCAAAACATCATCAACTCCGAAGGGAAACAAAAGGAGAGTGAAGGTGTTCCCCTGTGTCGTTTGCGTCAACAAAGCTAGGTTTCACTTTTGCGCCAGTGACTGTTTCGCCTCTCACTGACCCCGTGACAAGCCACGCCGGGCGCCCAAACTTTCCCGCGCGCTGACAGCAGACGCCAATTTCTGAGTCTCATTACGGCTGTTGCGAGAGATTATTGGTCTTAACAAATACTGGCTAGAAAAAGAAACAGTACAGGCAGGCAGAGAGACAGTCAGACAGACAGACAGTCAGTCAGACAGACAGGCAGGCAGGCAGACAGACA